TCTATCTATCTATCTATCTATCTATCTATCTATCTATCTATCTATCTCTATCTATCTATCTATTCTAAAAATACAAGTTCCAGGTATAGCTATAACAGAAGAGACAGACATCACTATCTCAGGAACAAAAACTATATTGTCCACTTAGCTTTCGTTAACCTCTGCTAACATCGTCAGAGTGTAAAACTACCATTGAAAAGGCACATATTTCTTCAATGGTAGTTTTACACTCCGACGATGTTAGCAGAGGCTAACAAAAGCTAAGTGGACAATATAGTTTTAGTTCCGAAGATCGCCATGAACCACCAGTGAACCTCAGACCACAGATTGAGAACTGCTGGTATAATCTTGGTTGTGGTTACTTTAAACCTACCATGATTTTATTCAATTCCATTTGAAGATATGTTTTATAATTTTGTTTCTTCCCTCTGAACATGATCTAGTCCTGCTAAAAATTTCCCATATTTCCTATCTGGAACCTGGTGTAGAATTCAAAGGGGAGTATTTATTGTGATATATACAATCATGTTTTTCATGGAGAATTTTTGTTTTTGTCTTTTACAAACATACATTAATAGAGCAAGTCATCCAGTGCAGCTAAGAAGAGAGAAACATGGACTGAAAAAGAATGGCTTCATACCATATAAAATTTAAATATGGAATTTACCCTTACAAGATTTAGGAATGACACTAGCTTGGGAATTTCTGCAAATGAATTAGGAAAATTTGTGGTAATTAAATTAGGATGGACATGTATTATTCCAAATATCAAAGCGGCATAACTCTTAATATTGTTGAGGTAGAATTTTGAACATACCCTAACAGTGAGCTTCCCAGAGCTATCTGGACAGCTCTTATGGAAACCAAAAGATAGGGTTGCCCTTTGTTTGATCCAACATAGTTCCTACACTGTTCCTTGGATGTATTTGGGACACTCCTGTGGTTAGGAGCACTTAATGATGCAGTATATAGCACAACATACTGTATATTGAGGGAGCCCACCTTTACTTGCTTCTAACAGCATTTCTTGGTGCTATTTCTCTCTTCACCAGCCATGTTTCCCAAAATTATTAAAGGGAGTTAATTCTCTGGGCTGTCAAACTGGAAACCTCTAATTTAAAATGAGTTGTAGGGTTACCTTCTGTCCTGATGGTGAATGGAGAGTCTCCCAGTCTTTTGGCTGAAAACTGACCTCCCAAGGATGTCATTAAGAAGCAGAGAGTGAAAAATCCAATGCCTACCACAAATATCCTAAATGGAGAAAAAGAAAGAACACACCAATCAGAAATATTATAGTTGAGCAATAGATGGAAATATTTCTACATTATCCATAAATGAGTTTAGTGAATATTATTTCAAATAACTTCTCCTCCAGAAAAAGCTAGTATTTGTCTACATCAGGGGTGTCAAACTCACGTTCTCACAGCAGCATGACATGACATATCGGGACTTTTTTCCCCTTTACTAAACCCGGCGTGGGCGTGGCCAGTGTGTGACGTATCTGGCCCACGGGCCAGGAGTTTGACAGCCCTGGTCTACATGATACCAGGTAGTAGACATGTTGTCCTGTACGAGAATTTTATTGAAACATTTCTGCACAGTTCTTATAAATCTCAAAAATATCATTTAATTACTCCAAACTAAAATAATAGAGTAACATTTCACTTTAACAAAGACCCATTTAACAGACTGAAAATGCAATAAACATTTGCCTTGGATATCTCCCCAAATAACAGACAAATCTGTTTCATTTGAATCAAATTAAGGGACCCTTAAATATTATGTAACCTAACATAAACATATACCATTTCTATTGAGTAACAGTGGCATTAATTGACTTGTGACAAACTGACATGAATAATATTATTTGGGCTCTTTGTGTAACAATGTAATTATGCAAATGACATATCTCATTACAAATGACACACTTTTTAAGATTTGAGGCCTTTCCCCACTTGCACTTAATTGTAACACAAACATCTGTGGCAACCTCTTTTTTTGCCATTTCCTGAGGTGGTTATCTTCATCCCATCTACAACCATATAGCTGTGCAGGTGTTAAAGCAGTACTGCCCTGCTTGACAAAAGTCAACAACATCTACCACAAGATACATAACATTCATTACACTTGTTCATTCATTCCAGGGGATTGCGAGTGGCTCATTATGTTTTTGTGGTGGCACAGTGGCTCAGCAGTTAAGATGCTGAGCTTGTTGTCTGGAAAGCCAACAGACCAGGTTTGAGAAGCAAACACCACATGACAGGGTGAGCTCCTGTCTTCGCCCCAGCTCCTGCCAACCTAGCAGTTCGAAAGCATGCAAATGTGAGTAGATGAATAGGTACCACTTCAGTGGAAAGGTAATAGCACTCCATGATACCATGCTAGCCACATGACTGTGGAAATGTCTTCTGACAGCACTGACTGAATGGCCTTGAAATGGAGATGAGCACTTATAGTCGGCAATGACTTGCAGAGTAAAATCTGCAGGGGCTTCTTTATTGGTGTGGGGTTTTTTGGTTGTTGGTTTTTGTTTTGTTTTTCATCTCCCCAGAGAACTGCAAAAAGCACTGCTATGCCGGGTTTCTCAGATTTGTACAATTGTGCTAGCCTGTTCAGTTGGCAATAGGGCATATATTTTATGGTTCTTATTGCTTTAATGCAAGTCTGAAATGGTGGACTATCAAGAGCCAATACATCCTCCTTTGTCTCCTACACAGAGCAGGGAGAATCTTTGTGGCATGTAAACTGAAGGAAAGGGTCAGAATTCCTTCACAAAAGTGTTTCTTATCTTTAGTTCCATTTGTGATACCAGTCAGATATATGTTTTTATCAGCAGAGGTGGTTAGGTTCTGACCAGTTCTGGAGAACCGGTAGTGGAAATTTTGAGTAGTTCAGAGAACCGGCAAATGCCACCTCTG